TTTTTTTTTTTTGTTATGTTTATTTTCTAAGAATGCTGATTCATCTGAAACCATCTGTTGGGTTTTATAGCAATGTTCGGGGAGAGAGTGACTTTGGCAAATGGACATGATGTTACATGATGTTGATGTTGTGGCTGTTGATGCTGTTTGTATCTGTAGATGAATGATCGTGATTGTGATGCTGGTTATAGCAGTATGCTGATTGCAGGGACAGTTTGTTAACTATTTTTAACTGAGAGATATGATGATTGGTAAGATCTGTAGTCAAGTCTTGGTTTCTGGAAAGCCTTGCACCATTCAGGTTTCTGATGATTCCATCTGATTATCCTCTGGTCTGCTGATTTCTAAATATTGGCACTGAGGTTTAGTTGCTGTGATGGTATAAAAGGACCCAAGATGAAACTTTTTGACCTGTGGAATACTGCATATGATGGACCTGTGATGCATAGACCTGATGCGGATACTAAATTTAAAAATGTAATGTCTGGTCTGAACCTTGTGTCTGTTAATTGAACAGAATAACTTGTTTCTGTTTAATCATTTGATTGGGGTATTTCATTAATCACGTTTAACCACACCCTGTTGCTTAATGTTTTGAGTTGTAGCAAAATTGTCCGTGACTGTAGCTGTGAAGTGTTGGTTGATGCCAGTTGTAAGATACATGTGGCTCGTGGGTAACCATTGAGTACCAACGAATAACCTGTAGCAGGCTGTTGCTGCCTTTCTTGTTGGGTCACGTTGATAATGGTTCCAGCAGTTGCCTAGCTTTCTTGCTGGTCTGCTATGTGGCTGTTGCTGCCCTTCCCGCAGGGTCGTGTCAGTTTTGGTACTAGCATGGTTGGTATGCATATGATATGCCAGGGCTGGTCACATGTTAGGGTTACATTCTATCATCTGTGTTTTTCTTTTATCTGCTATAGAAGAAAGATCTTTTGGGACTATTAAATTGATGACATTGTGATCTGGAACAGATCACTGTTCATTCATTCTTAGACCCTATTTTGTTAATGGGGGCTCTCCTGCATATTACTCATGCTCTGAGCTTGCTGAGCTGCTTTGAAAGCATTGAAAAATTTAGGAATGCACTCAATAGAGGTTAAAAATGTTGAAGGGAAATGAGTAAAGAGAAGACTGCAATTGCAGTCTTGAGTTGAAGCCTCAAGCTGTGTATTAGATGGTGTTGCTTTCGCTGACCTGTCTTACCATCTTTGGGTTTTGCCATGCAAGTTCTGAAAATTTGCGGATGGAAGTGATGATGTGAATTTTTGAGCTCGCAGTTGAGTGTTACTATATTTAACCGATGCACGAGTTGCTACTTACATTGTGTGTTTTGTTTCAGCCAGTGACTTGAAATGGAAATGGTTTCTTTCAAGAGGTATTTGTTAGTGACGTCAGTTGAAGCTAAATGGTCAATTGTCGTGTTAGCATAGCAGGATACATCCTCAGTTAAGCGTCCATCTCAGAACCCTTGTTGCATGAAAAGGATTAGTGGAATTGGAATAAATTAGGAAATCAAAGTTTTTTGCAAAATAATATAAGGCAGGGCACCAATTCATCTCTATGATACGCGCATTTGCTGTTACCAAAAAGCGTAAGTTTCATGCGAAATTGTTTGGAGGAATCTATGTTTATGTTTTGTATTCCACTTCATCATTACAAAAGGTGTTTTTAATCTGACTCCAAAATGTGCTACTCCAGAAAGCAGCAATAGTGTCACTAACATCTACAAGATCCACAAAGCTCGTCGTCAGTCCAAATCCATATCATATTCCTTTCCGATATTACCAGCTGTCCACAACTTTATTGTTCGATCATGAGAGACGGTCACAATATACCGGCCATCTGCCATGAACAAAAAATGATGCTCAGTTTACTCAAATGGGATAGTTATGTTGACACAAATGTGGAAAGATGTAAAGATATCTCAATGCCTATGCAACAGAAAGGGGAGTAAGTCAGACCACTAGATTTTCCAGCAATGCCGCTAAGCAATCATTACTTATTTATTGCAAAGCCAAGAAAAATCGATGCGTGGCCCTGCCCCCCTCCCCATCCTTTGCCCCCTTCTTCCAATAAAAAAGCAACGGAAAAACTGAAGATTGATATCACCTCTAGGTACAATAAAGGGAAGGAGCTTTAACCTCCCCCCTGCAGTTTCTTATACTAAGTTCTGACTCCTGCAGGGCAGAGGAATAGTGGAAAAGAGACGACAAAACGGTGAAGAAAAGAATGGACAGCCACAAAAACTTCAGCAGCAGTACCATTTCCCAGTCAATTATACTTAAAGGATCTTCAATCTAATTTATAGCAAAATACATGGTAAGGTCAAAATGCTTTAACCCATGCTTGCTGATTGAATTTTGGCAGTTCTGGTGAAGAGAAGGTGTGGTCAAAGCTAAAACTACACAAAAGGAAATATTTCAAGAAGAGAGAGAGAGGGAGATGCAACCTTTACTTATTTTAAGCTCAGAAACTTACCTTCACTAATATCTGAAGCAGTGACTTTAGCTTCATGACCTGGTAAGCTTTTGACAGGCTTAAAATCTCTGCCAGACCAAACCTGGTAAATTGTATACAAAGATTAGATCCTAGCGTAACAAAAATATATTTCAAATTTGAAGACATTTGCTTTCAGAAAGGAGGTTGCACCTTCGCAGTCATGTCATAAGAAGCAGTGACCAAGTAATATCCCTCTTGAGGCTCAAACTTCACTTGTGATATAAGATTTGAGTGGGCTGGTATGATGTAGAGGGATTTTTTCTTCCTCAAATCCCATATTCGACAAGTATTATCTTCACCTCCTGTAGCTAAATGGTAGCCATTGGGTGAAAAACTCACACCAAGAACCTGAAAAGAGTGTCAGACATTCATGGACTTTTAATTAACAAATATCTATTCCAGGTAAAAGAAAAATCTCTTTCCTGCTCCTAAAAACTCAATACAATCTTAAGAAATTAACAAGGCAATTCAATTCAACACTTTAGTATCTACTTGTCTAATTAAGCCTTAAAACTTTAAAATTGTAGCACCATTGACCTCCCAGTTCCAATGGAATCTGATGGAATATCTAAAACACTTCCACTTGAAGCATTTAGGCCTTATGTGCTAAAAACATTTTCCACATAACTAACCTCAAACCTCTATTGTGAATGTTATAGTCCTTAATAACTATTTATCAGGTATTTTACTGTACTGATGCTAGTAGAGATGCACCACAATATGCCCCCACATGTAGCATTTTGGAACCGTCATTGCAACAAAAACTGAAAGAACCACGTAACTATAAAGTCTTACCGGCTTGACATGGCCTTCCAAGGCAAGAACACTTCTACCAGTGCGAAGATCCCAAACACGAGCAAGTGCATCAAGTCCACAGGATGCTGCTAAAGATCCATCTTGGTGGAACGCAATTCCATAGACACTCCTACTATGACCTTCTTGGAGTAGCAACTCTACACCACTGTCTATGTCCCACAGTCTCCATGTTTTATCAAAGCTTGTTGTGCCAAGGTACTTCCCTGAAGGATGGAAGGCTATGCGTGCAAGGCGATCCAAATGGCCCTCAAATGTTGTCAGGAGAGATCCATCAGTGTTCCACAACTTTGCTGTTCGGTCAGCAGAAGCAGTCGCTAAATGATCATGCACAGGAGAAAATGTAACATCAGTTGCACGTTCTGTGTGGCCCTTTAAGGCAGAAACCTTACTTACCCTAGGCATTGACCACAACTTAGCAACTCCACTCAATGAGCTGAAAAAAAAAAGAAAACAAAAAATCTAGTCACAATTCTATATTATTGTCACCTTTAGTGGTTTCAAAGCCATAATTTACAGGCACCCTAAAAGGACATATTTAGCACTTTGACAAGTGCAAACTGCTGCCAAACTTATGGCTTGGAAAACTTGTGTCCTTTTAATCACTGAAAAATGAATTTCTTAAAGAAAATTAAAAAACGAAATCCATAAAGACTAGGCTTTTTGTTTAATGGACTGCAGAGTTGAGTGAGAAGCTCACCAGGTGACAAGAAGTTTTCCATCACGTGAGAAAGAACAACCGGAAAGTGGTCTATCATCCCCAATTTCACTGCAATCGAGAACCAAGTTCCCTGCCTGCTTTAGAGCCCAATCAATTTCAGCATCCATATCTTCATCTGGATCATCCCTTTTTCTCCGTGCACGTTGAACACGTGTAGCTGCCTTGACAACAGAGTACTTTGCAATATCAATTCTAGCATCCAAGAGCTCTTTTGGACCCTCAGTATAAAAGGGATATTGAATGTCTTCCTCAACCTCCTCCATTTTAGCAGAAACTGCAGCCTCTTCCTCCTCGTGCGCCTTCATCAACTTCTCCAACTGCCCCTCAGAATCCAGCTTTGCCATAATCATTCGCAACCTATCCCGCCTTTCCATCTCTCTTTCTCCAAAAATTGTTATGGGTTCACCAAGCCGGCGAAGTCGAGTCCGGACAGCCATGTCATTTGTAGGCACTGCTAGTGCCGCAGCACGTCGTTTCATCAGAAGTTCTTGCATGGCCTTTTCTTGCCGCTCTCTAACCAGTCTACTCTCTTCTGAGATCTCATAATCAACAGCAGCAGTTCGCCCTTCATCCTCATGGTCAGAGTCTGAATCACTAGTTTTCACCTCACCATTTTGAGGTGCAAGTGGTTTAAGGATGGGAGCGCGAATCGGGAGAGGAATGGCAGGTATTGGTGCAATAGGTGGTACAACTGCAGGCGGGACCACTGGAGGAACAATAGGCTGAACAGACTGAAGCAGAGTGTTATTAGCCGTAGGCACTGTGGTTTGGCTGTCGGGAACTGCAACTGAAGGTTCTGCAGATGACCTCGATGGACTGTTGTCATCATCAACTTCCATTGTACCTACCCAAGTAAAATGAAAAATAATGAACTTTAGACAGTATAGAAAAAAAAAATTCAAAAAAAACTTCTCTAACATTTACTATCCACATCCCAAAAATAGATTTAAAGAAAGACAAGGAAGCACAGTTTAGATCAATATAAAAGTTGTGAGTAATTTGAATATAAACTACTTAAAACAAAAAATATACTCCGAAAATTACACCTTTTAAGCCTTAAGAGTTGAAGATTAGATGGTTTAAAGACTAGGATTTTCTTTTATAACGGATGGGTATCTTTGTTCGAGCTCTGCTCCTTGCTGAAAACCGAGCATATGATAATTTTATGAGCAAGACATAGCAACAAACAGAAGGTGCTCGGAAAAGCATCCAAAAGAAAAGCAGCTAAAATATAAAATTTTTCTATAGCCAGGGAAAAGAAAACCAAAATCACAATCAACTGGGAATAACTGAGTTTAATACAGCGAAAAGATTAAGCCGAAGTGAGTTAAGAAGTCGCCAACAAAATCAAAATCTAAAACCCTTCAAGCAGCAGTTAATCGGTAGGATAACAATGAACAGCATTATTGCCATTACCTTAAAAAACCGCAGGAAATCAATCGGGGTGGCAAAAGAAAACGAGAAAAGAGGAAAAGGGGTGGATGATGCGGAAGGTTCAAGACTGCGAAAGGAGTCCTCTGACTTCTTCCCTCGCGCTTTACTCCTCCTCCTAAAACTATTTTACGTAAACCCTAAAAAAAAAAAATCAATAAATTAGTAAGCACTCTTTCACATTTTTACAGCTAAAAGTTCCAAAGCCAGACTTTGAAACCAAGAGCCGAGAGCCGAGAACAACAATCGCATCAATACAGTGAGACATGAAACATTTTCATTTTTAAAGTAAAAACAAAAAATAGTATAAAAATTTATTAATTCGGTGATTTTTTTATCTTTAATTGATAAAAAATATTACATTATGAATGAATTTAACATTATTATTTCATTAATAAATTTTTTTTATCACTATAAGATAATTTGTATTAAATATTTGGGCCTTTAGGCAATGTCTGGATGAAGTCTAAAACTTTTCACCGCCGATGTCCGATTAAGTTGGGTTTACAATTCGATTCAAGCCCATTTCCAACCCGGCCGATGATTACTTGCAATATTCTTTCCCAAAAGCTGGAAAGGGTTCGGGGGGCTAGGCTTTGGCCCACTAATTTGGGGGAGTCAGCAGGGCTTGTCCCCATTTTATTTTGCTCTTCAAAGTCTCCTCCTCCCTCTCAATGTCACTCTCCTCGTTCTCTCTCAGTAAATCAGAAGTTTGTTTCGTTTCGAGGTTGGAGCTGAGAGTTTGTAGGGATGGAAGAAAAACCATCAAGCTCTCATCGCAAGCGCCAATTCTTCGAAGATGAAGACTCCAACAAGCCTCCCGCGTAGTCATTTCCTTCAAATCTTTTCTTTTCTTTTTTTATTTTGTTTGTGTGTTTTTTTTAACTTTGAAAATGAAAATCTTTCATACCTCAATGGAAAGTAATTCCTTTTCTCGCCTTGTTGATACAGTTGTTTTAGCTCGTAATTCTACTCGTTTTCTCTTTTATGTTTACTCTTTGTTTCTTACTTTTGCTTTGGAAATTTTAGCTGTAAATATGTTAAGGTGCGTATTATTTTATCATCGAATTTTTTAGGGTTTATATAATGTATTGTTAGGATTTTTTTTCGTTCGAATGCAGTCAATTCTCGATAATATTGTTAAATTTGATTTCTTCGAGAAAATTAGGGTTAAAAGATAATCTTTTTAAGAACTATTTCTGTTGTTTGAATTTTAGAATTAAATCAATATTTTTATTTACAGGCAAAAGAGAGTTAGGTTTCCCAAGGGAAAGAAAGTGAAGCCTGGAGAAGAAGCAGTGAACAGAGTTGATGTGGAAGATGGTTCCGGTGACTTGAAAGATCCCCGTCTCGCTGCCAAGGACCGTGCCAAGCGCCGCAGTCAAATTACTACGGAACTGTTCACTGAAGATGGACGGGGCACGCTTAACGATGTCTCTACTGCTGAAGTTGCATATGAGGTTTGTTTGCTGTCCTCTTAATCTGCCCAATTTTAGATTCTATGTGTGACTGACAATATGAACTGGCCATAAAGATATCAGTACAGTGTATCTTTTGTGAATTGATGCAAATTTATCATGAGTGTCTAAAGGCAAGAAGCAGATTAATTGCTGATTTCCTTTACAATCTAGCTTTTGAACAGAGCTTTTTTACATCAACTTCGTACTGGTCAACTACTGTGGGTTTATCCATGTTATGTGTCTGAGTGTAATAAATGATAAAAAGGCAGTTTTCTTTTTATTCCAAATGCAACAATGCATTTTCATCATATTTATTTTGTTGAAATCTTGGTATTTAATTGTTCGCTTTAACAATCTTCAGTGCCACTCTGAGATATGATACACCTGGCATGTGATGTTGTTATTGAGTGAGTTTATAATTTTAGGATGCTTCTTTCCTGAATTGGCAGCAGTTTTTGCAGTCAAGATGACTGCCAGATTCCTCAGTTATTGGTTCAGAGGAAAGGATAGCCAATGATGAGGAATTTCTTTTGGCAGGATAATGAGAACTTTGTTGATGATGGTATTCAAATAGAACCTTTCAATCTGAACAAAGAAAGAGAAGAAGGATACTTTGATGCAGATGGAAACTTTGTTGAATATGTCAATGACAACGAAATCAAGGTAAAGTATCTTATTGACCTGAAGCTTCTAAATTATTATATTAAAACTTCTATTGACTACCACATGGACTTTTTGTAGGATGCATGGCTTGATAGTGTCGAAGCTGATACAAAATATGCAGGAAAAACATCTGCAACAACAAATGATGAAGATCATGATGACGTTGTGGCACAGGATCTTTCCTCCCAAGACATTGGGATAATGAAAAGACGTATTGCCAATGTGCTCGAGCCTGGAGAAACGGTAATATTACATGATGATAGATATTCTGTCTAAAAGAAAAAAAATATTCTTTGGTAAAGGGAATAATTGTGTTACATATTTGTTCCAAAATTTGCGTTTTGCTTTGATTTTCATGATATGAGTATATTTTGCTCATATTAGATTATGATATGTTTTGCTGCCACATGGATCTTATACTAGTTATTTCTTCTCATTATTTGCTTATTTTTGTTGTAATGGTGATTATTTTTGACATCCATATTGATTCTATTGAGGGCACTCATCAATTTTGAGGCCAATTTGGATTTGCTAAAATGCTTACATTCTACTAACTTACTAAGATGTCAAACTGTGTAGATCATTTCTTCTTGGTATTTTTTCTTTATTTGATCTAACTTCAAAGTTACAATTGCTTTAGAATGTTAGATATAGAGGTTTTTACACTTGTCATTTTCAGTTTTAGGCTCTATCCCCTAGGTACCAGATATTAAATTCGTTTTTGTTAGGTAATTAAACAGGTTACAAGGGCACAGTTTAAAGCTAATTTTAATTTACCTTGACAGGTTTTGCAAGCTCTGAGAAGGTTGAAAGGAACTTCAAATAACAGAAAGGAGAAAATGTCAGCTGAGACAAAGCATGTATTTGACCAACTAACTGAGGATGCCATGAAGTTGATGGAGAATGGTGACTACAGTTAAGTCTGTTACTTTCTTGGGTTTCTAGTTCACTTAGATTGAGGAGTAACCTTGAATATTCTAGCTTTAATGCCACCACCTTCTCCAATTAAAAGAAAAAAAAAAAAACTTGCTACTACCAATGATCTTAAAGGTGTTTGTCCACTTTGAGGCAAAGTGGCATAAAATGCCTCAGGTCCTCAAATGTCACCTTCACCTTTTAGAATATTGGATCTTGCTAATAGTCAATTCTCATGGAAAGGAATTAGGAAGCAGATATATACTTGTTTTAGATTTAGATTTAGCTTAGTTGAGATTTATGGCTTTGTCAGGCTCTAATTGCCCTTTATCACCAATGAAAAAAATATGTTTGTGTTTCCTTTTTCATCCCCCTGCTTTTGTTAATCATAAATGTAGGTAAAGCTTTAGGAATATAAGTGTATGCTTATTGGTTTTAAATTTCATTCTGCAGATGTATACCATGAGAAGCAGGAGGTTTTCCAGCGCGAGGCAGGTTGGTGCAATGTTTGAGTAGTTCTTTTAATATATTTTATATGTTGTATTTATATTGGTTTCTGAATTATATTCCATTATGCTAATATTCCATGTGTAATTGTGTAGGGGCAGGTGTGTGTTTTGAATAACTTTTATTAAGCATGCTTTAAATGTATTGCTTTTTCAGAGGGATATGAGAAGTTAGCTCTGGCCAGGGGGAAGTGCCTAGCTGTGAATGTTGGACTGGAGAATTCTGGTCCTAACTTGGGAATTGACACACTCAAAGATATAAATAATCCTGGAGTAACTTCTTCCATACCCCCTGACTCAGTTGTGGGTACTTCAAATGCAAATCTAACTGCTACTGAAGTTTCAAGCAATACAGGTGACAGTTATGATATGTTTGCCGATGATGAGGATGATGAGAATCTTAAGCCATCATCTGAGCCTAATTCTAATGCTGTGATTCAAGCATCATATGAAGCTGTAAACACTTCTTCTGAGAGTATGTTTTGCCATTGATCTATTGATTGGAATATTATAAAGCTTTTTGGATGAAATAATAGTGAATTTGTTGCTTGACCTGCTCATCTAATTTTTGTGTTTGCTCCATTTGCAGCTGGAGATGTGCAAAATGATTATGTCTATGATGAGTCTTCAGGGTACCCTCTTTGATCCTTCCATGCCTCCATATGTTATAGTTTCAAAAGATTATTTGGATATATGTGTTTCTGTTTAGGAATTTTTTTCTCTAGGAGCTTATTGTGATTTATGAAGCGGTGATAGATATTTGAAGACAGAATATTTGCTCAACCTACATGTATATCGGTATTTAGTAATATTTGATCTTACTCCTTTAATCTTTCTGTTCAGGTACTACTACAGTAGCTCTTTGGGATATTATTATGACCCATCTACAGGACTATATTGCTCAGCAGCATCAGGGCAATGGTAATTTTATCCGCAATCTCTTTTTGGCTACTGAGTTTTAGCACTTGCATTTCAGCTATGCTGGTTCATTCGTGGTTTTAATCCCTAAGTTTTGACCAGTGGGTTAACTGTCAATTTGAACAGTGTGTTGAGAGCAGGTTCCATAGATGGGTTTACTAAATTGCATAAGAAAAATAGCTGAACATGAACAGTCATTAGAAAAATTATGGTTTTTAACTAGTCTGAAGTAAATGTATAAGATCTGAATCGAAGTTCCATGAGCCCCACCCATTTTAGGAATATTTATGATAACAAGTTATGCCAAGGAGAATTAACATATCAAGCACTGTCATCTTTGTAGAATTTCCTATAATGATAGTTAAAAAAATGTCTAATGCTTTTCTTTACTTCAAGATCTTGGCTATTCTCATTTATTTGTGTGGGCCCTTGTTTTTTGTTGCCTAGCCATAGAGTTGATAGACCTGCTGTTTTGGGATTTGTGCACTGCTCATTAAGCATGACATTTGAAGGCTGTGTTGAAGATTTTCACGTGCATGATTGTTTTGATCTTTTAAGGCTTGGGTTTTCCAAGTTGTCTGGATAAATGTTGTGAGCATATGCTGCTTAGAATCTAATACCTCTCTCTCCTCTGGGGATATAGGTATTCTTTTAATGAGGCGACTGGCACATATGATGAAGTTAAGGAGGTTGCATCCAATTCAAATTGAGAGGTAGAGAGTTACTGGTTCAGTCAAGGATGTTGTACAGGCTATACAGAGTAGAGTTTGATGTGTGAAAGTGGAATCTAAGTGGGTTTGCACACAATAGGCTCCTGACTTCTTTCTTGCCTTTTGGAAGCTAATAACATTTATACAGTCCTTGTATTTCTACCCAGTAAGATCACTTAGATTTTCTATGGCGGTGGCATTTAGCAATTTTTGTTTTGTTTTGTTGTGGTTGAGGTGTTAGGGATAGAAATCCATCATTTGGATTCCAAGCTTTGAGTTGTTCAGCGTATGGGAGTTTGTTTTGTTTTGTTTTGTTTCTATAATATGGCACTTAATTCTGCTAAATGACCACGTATCCAAACAGATTCTTTGTTTTAGCCACACGTAAAACACCCACAAATCCAATAACCCATATATTATTAAACAAAATTCCTCAAATGCCTCAGTGCAGTACATAATTCGTCATGATTGGTCGGCAGGAAGCTGTAAAAATTCACTTATTTCCAAGTATTTGAAGCAGAGCGATGGGGAGTGACAAGAGAAATCGAAAATGCCAACGCATAATCGTTAAAACAATGGGCAGTATTGGCCACCAGTCCAAAGCAAAGGTGAGGAGAAGGTGAGCCAACCATCAATGCCTCGGAAATTAGGTTAATATTACGGAAGAAAAATAAAGTCAGCGTGAACGACAACAAACGTAATCAGTTTGGGACCGATGGTTAATTATGTAACTAATCTTGTACCTTCTGCTTCAGGTTTGCTGCAATTTCAGCCTAATGCTGCTCCTTTCCTCTTTAATGATTGCAGCAATCTATTAGCTACATCAACATCAGATAAAATTTATGATCAAACTTATATATAAATACTTTCACAAAATAAAACTCTTCCTTAGCGATATAAATTGTGAAGGGTTGGGAACACTAATTCTCCAGTGACATGCCAAATGAACAGCTGACATCCAAAGTCAATTCATCAATGTCAATCTGGTTATTCAATCAGTTTCTGGTCCTACAAAGTCGAATCTTATTACAATTTGGCCAACCAATAACAAAATGATAGAAACTAATTCCTCTCTTATCACATTAAAAAGTAATTTTTCTTGTGAAAATACATACCAATTTTATAATTCGAATGACATTAAAGGCTTTGGGTTTCTCTTTACACTACATATAAAAAAAAAAAAAAAAGAGAAAAAAACCACAGAGGAAAATGTGATACGTGGTATAATCTGATACCAAGCTTTTTTCATCCGACGGTCGAGCGAGAATCCTTTCCACCCAGTGTCTGAATTATAGCTTCAAGGAGTTTAATTTCCTTATCTCGCTTAGAGATTTCTTCTTGCTTTGCGCGCAACTCTTCCATGTGCAGTTCGAATACTTCTGCAAACCAAACAAGGTCAAAAAATGAACATAGATCATCTTTCTTTTGCCATAGCCTTCGAACTGGCTACACAACAGGAAACGAGCAGAGATAGTTGAAGAAAATTAGCAGAGATTGAGGCCAAGGGCAATGCATACTTGTGGTGTTCTCAAGCTCTTTTGTAACCTCTTGGGCACGCAATTCGGCAGCCTTTTGCGCCGCCTCGGCCTGTCGTTTCTCGGAACGGGCACGCGCAGCTGCTGTGATTGCAGCATCCACCTCTCTTTCCAGCGTCTCCACCCTTTGTTCAAGAACCTACACTCCACACACAAACCCAGATCATAAACAATAAGCTCAATCGACCGCATAAAAAATTAAGAGTGCTTAATCGATAGATCAATGATTATTCCAAACCAATTACCTAATTAATTTTATGACGATAAAATCAATACAAAAACCCAGAATCAGGAATTCAATTAAAAGAAGAAAAAAAAACAAGGAGTAACCTTAATTGTTCGGGCTTGTTCGGAGGTTAAAGAGGCTTTGGCAAAGGTATCTTCATCGACAAATACAGCTTTCTTGAGAAGCAGTTTTTGCAGAGAATCCAGGTTCGAAGCCATCTCCGTCAGATTGGCTATGGCTCCGCCCCATCTCTCCTCGCTCCCTTTGCCCTTCTCCTGCTCCATTATTTTTCTATTCTACAAAATGCTACACTAATCTGAATGAATCAACCTCTCGGGTGAAAACTTTATTGGGCTTCCCTTTCTCTCGGCATGGGCTTTTAATTTTCTGTTTTCTCCAGAATTAAGCCCACTTCCTTAACAATTTCTGCTGAATTCAACCAAGTCACGAGTTATTCTCAAACCTCCTTAAATAACAAGCAACAACCAGTCCATTAAATCGTCACCAAATTAGTTCATGTCCTTGGTTTGGTTTTTAACTCAACGACCACACCCTAGTAATAAGATAAAAAAGTTGAATCATGAGCTTATAGGCACGTGCACGGTAGATATCATTTGGGTTTTCAAAATTATTTCTAATTTTTTTTAAAATTTTTTAGAGTGGTAATAATTAAATTTTGAAATTTTATTAATCGAAGAAGAATTAAAATATCAAATCAAGTTTGATAGCATTATAGAGTAAGTTGTAATTTAAAATTATATTAATTTTTTAATCAAATTACGTTCATTGACTGTAATGTAGTTGAATTATAATTTTATATTATTTTCACTTGTTTTAAAACAAATGTTATTTCAATGTCATTTAATTGAATACGTTATAGGGAATATTGGTAGACATCGCTCGTATCAAATACTATCAAAAGAACTTATTAAGTTGCAAATTTGATGAATTTAATTAGAATAACTTATTTGTTAGACTTTTTTAAAAAAATTGCATTAACTTTAAAGTTAAAAAATTGTCAAATATATAATCATTTCAATTAAATTTTGCTTGATTACAGAATTTTGTTCATTTTATATACTAATTTCTTTTTAACATTTATCAACGAATTTTTTTTAATTTTTAAATAAAGGGATAAGCATGTATTTTATGGGTGAAGAAATTTACAAGTGTTTGATTCATTTAACAACTATAAATCTAAAATAATATTATTAATTTAATTGTTTGTATAGCTAAAATAAACGGAGAAACACAATTATAAATGAAAATAGACATTTGAGATGCATTGTTAGGGAAATGTTTGCACATAAAATCTTTTAACAATTTCGGCTACACGAAAAATTTCTCAAATATGCATATCTAATGGAAGACATCGAGGAAAAAGGACAATCATTAAAATAAAAACTTTTTAAATTTTACAAGTGAGATTGAAAGATTGCCACATGCTTTGGGATTTTTGTGAGGAATTATGTTAGTAAGGTGGACGGGAAATTTAGTGTAGAGAAAGTTTTGAAATACTCAATAAATTTAAAAAAGTTTTAAATGAATTTTATTATAAAAGTTTTTATGATATTTCTACTGTTGAAATTTACTTTACGAAAAAGTAATATGAATTTGAGAGACGATAGTGATTATGTTCTTCGTGTTGATAGCTTTTGTACGAGGTGAGAATGTTACTTGAATGTTTGATTGAGGGAGGCTTTATAACGTGTTATTGGGATTTTGAGGAATGCAAGGAAATGTTCGGCAATTGAGTCTATTTGGGGTTTGTTACAAGGTAAGGTGTAATGCCGAGAATCATGCCAAACACTTGATGCAATGCCTTAATTTGACTATATTTTATTTTAATATATTTTTAAAAATTAATAATTTTGTTATAGTAATGAAATTAATATATGATAATATTTTATATTCACTTGTAAAATAATTAAAAACTTTGCTAGCTATATATATATATATATATATATAAAATAGAATAAAACTACGAAAAAATGAAAAACTTATGCTAATGGGAGAGTAACCGCAGGGAAGTGCCCAGCAGAAGCAGCGGTGTATCTCAATCCCAAAAATCGAGGAGCTTGCACACGAGAATATGGCAGTTAGGTTCGTACCCGGGCGGGTATTAGATTGACACTTGTCTTAACATCACTGGATGGCTGATATGGAAAGATGGACCGAATCGGGTCTGTGGGACCCAAAAGTCTACTCGCTTTCCGGCCAAGGAATGTAAAAGGGATTTTTGCTTGCTGCCTTTCTTTCTTCTTCTTCTTTTAATTTTCTATGTTTTTTGAAATTTGAATTTTCGTAAAATCTTTTATGGTCCTTAAGAAATGTCCAAATGCCTCCCATGTCCCCTTTTGCCTTTCTTGGGGACAAAGGAAGAGACGACGCTGGTGGATGGTGGATCACTTAATTCATTTGCCTTGCATCCTCATTGGCTGGGACCAAATAGGCGAAAACTATTTAATTAGAATGAATAAAGGTCGCCGTGTTGCCTTTACACAATGCATTATTTGTATTATTTTTTTCTTTTTTCTTTGTGGAATTTGTACATTTTCAATTCACTAAATTGATTGCTCATTCCCTAAGTTGTTATCCCTTTCTTCTTTCTTTTTTCCGAATAAGTGTACTTTTAATTAGCATATCAATACTCACCAAAATGCCATTTGATTTAATATTGAATTAGCATTTCTTGACATTTTAGTACGATTTTAGTAAAAAAAAAAAGTATATACGAAATAAACATAATATGTTGTTGAAGTTACATTTATTGGGTTTTTAATAAAAAAGAATTTATAAAGAAACTGCCAAGTTATTAACTAATATGGGTGTAAACTTTGGATTTCTAAATTTAGATGCTAAGCCTGATATTAGACGTTCATAATATTAAATGAGGTGGAAGGGAAAGAAAATCCTTAGGACATTACAAACTTGAAAAAATTCTATGAAAATAATAGAAAAAAAAATGTTGAACTTTGACGCTCTCGGCTCCATGTGATGCTGTAATTCAGCCATAAAACTAGTTTTAAACAAAAGTCGAAAATTAAACGTGGCATGATTCTTTATTTTGCACGTAGTCAAAGATGAAACGACATCCTGCAGTCTTGATCAATTAATCACAATTAATGAATTAAAACATTTCCATTAGGTAGTTAAGTGTTGATTAATTTCTGCCTAACCCAAGCACAGGGGAAAGAGGAAACGAGAAATCCGAAACCTCAAAAAGAGGAAAAGAGGGACGTGGGTGCATGTACCCTTCAAGCCCCATTAACACAAAAGGGTGAGTCGGCAAAGGTTAAAGCACAAATCGAAAGAGGGTAATTTGGTCATTTCATTAAACACACAAAATTCCAATAACTAACCTTTCAAGAAAATAAAAACATGTTAACAGTTGGGAGATGAGTTGGGTTGTTATAATCGAGAAATTTATCCAAAATAAAAAGAAAAAAATAGAGATAAAGCAAAACAACAGAAAAATCAAAAGCCAAATCCTCATTTAATTTTAAACAATTTAATAAATAATAAATTACATGGATGCATGATATTTTATTAAAACAATAATTATATATTTAATAAATATTAAT